TATGGCATAAGTTTATTTTTAGATGTTAACCCAGCTTTGCATTACTGAGATAAATCCCATTTGGTGTTTTTGTGTATAACCTTATATATATTTCTAGATTTAGTATGTTGATATTTTGATAAAGATTTTGCATCTATACAATTTTATGAAGTTTCTTTTTAAATCATTTGTGAAAAGACACAAGAATAAATATGCATTTACACTGTCTTATATGATTACTAATCACCTTAACCAATGCTCTTTGTGAACTGGGTTTACATTTTTAATCTGAAGAACTTCCTTCAGTATTTCCTGAAAAAGCATGTATTATAGTAACAAATCTGCTCATTTTTCTGTTTCTATGGGAATGTCTCTATTTTGCCTTCATTTTGAAAAATTATTTTGCTGGGCGTAAGATTCTTTTGTTGACAGGTTTGTTTTTGTTTTTTTTTCCTTTCAGTACTGCCTTCTGACTGCATTTCTCTCTCTCCCTCTCCCTCTCTCTCTCTCTCTCTCTGTGTGTGTGTGTGTGTGTGTGTGTGTGAGAGAGAGAGAGAGAGAGAGAGATTGAGAGAGAGAGAGATGAGAAGTCATCTCTAAATCTTACTGGAACTCCCTTGTCCATGATTCATTTTTCTTGTTCTGCTTTCAATATTCTCCTATTGTTTTTGGCTTTCAACATTTTTGCTACAATGTGTGTGGGTACGGATGTCTTTGCAATTATCTCACATAAAGTTCACTGAGCCCCCTTGGATGTACAGATTCATGTTGTTCAACTAATGTGAAGCTCTTTAGTTACCATTTCCTTGAATAGTTTTGCTACTTCATTCTTTTTCTCCTCTGGGTCTTATACTCCCATTTGCCTATATCAGTGTGCTTAAAGGCTTCTCATACTTCTGAGTCTGTGCTCATTTTTCTTCATTATATTTTATCTCTGGTTTTCAGCTTGCATTCTTTCCATTAATGTGGCATCAAGTTTCATCATTCTTCTTCCAGTTAACATTTACTGTTGAGCCCCTCTAATGAATTTTTCACTTTGGTTATTAAAAACTTTTCAACTCCAGGAGCTTCATTTGGTTCTTTATTATAATTTCTATCTCTCTTTTGACCATCTTTTTGATGTGCCTTCATACCTTTAAGGATTTCTTTTGGTTCTTTGAACATGTTTGTATTGGCCAATTTGAACTCTTTGTAACTGGGACATGTAGGCCCTGTCATAGGAAGCTTTGGTCGCCTACTTATTTCTTGGAGTGTGGGTCACGCGGTCTGGTCTCTGCATGTCTTGTAATTTTTGGTGCTGCTGAAAACTAGGCATTTTACATAATATACTGTAGCCCCTCTCGATATTGATTTCCCTTCCCTGTCTTTGAGGCTTATATTTGTTTTGATGTTTATTTGTTCTGTGATTTGGCTGGCTATTTTAGTGAAGTCTGTTTCTGCGGTAGTGTGAAATCTTGGTATTGTTCCTTGGAAGGTGCAGCCCTGAGCAAGCACACGGTCACCTTGGTTTTATCTCGTCTGTATTGACACTCCTTTTCCCTGAATTTTCCATTAAGCTATCTGACTCATTTCGTATTACACCAGGTTTTAGGCTCCACTCATTACCCATGGGATATTCTACTGTTCTTGACAGTGTTCTGGGGGCATAAATTATACAGCAGTCTGATCCAATTAAATTCAGGCTGGGATGATTTTGAGACAAGTCTTTGAGATTTGTTCTCACCTCAGGAGGGCTATTTTTATCTGTTTCTGTCCCTGGTTCTCTCTGATAAACTGATAGGCCTAAGGGTTAGCTGGTTGGTCTCAATTAAGATTTATTATCTTTGAGGGGCGCCTGGGTGGCTTAGTCGGTTAAGTGTCCGACTTTCGCTTAGGTCATGATCTCGCAGTTCGTGGGTTCGAGCCCCGCGTCGGGCTCTGTGCTGACTGCCAGCTCAGAGCCTGGAGCCTGCTTCAGTCTGTGACTCCCTCTCTCTCTG